AAAAAAAAAAAAAAAAAAAAAAAACTATAAAATAGACTAGACAATGATCAAAATTTTAACAGCACACCAAGCTTTGCAAGAAAGGAGAAGAAAGACAACAAAATTTTCACTTTCATGTTCTTTGCAATTGTAATTCTTTTTTATGATTCAATTATTAACACACAACTGCAAAGTGATTGCATCACATCAAGGAGGAGGAAGACGTAAATATTTGAACTCTTAAAATGTAAATGATGTGTATTTTTAAGCCAGAGGTGCACAAATACTAACCTCCCATGAGAGGGCATGTGGTCTGCGGTGATCAGACTGCATTACCAAAGGAGCTCCATCAGCTCCTCCATTTGACGAGGACCTTTTCAATTTCTCAAACTTCTCAACTCTCGACTTTAGTTCTCTAAAGTCTGAAGCAGCTTCTTCAAGAACAAGATTTGCCTCTTTCATTTGATCCAGATCGCATTCGAGTTCACAAAGAAGATATAGTTCATCTACAGCCCTATTCAGGTTCTCAAAAAGAAAGCCCCAGAGACGTTCTCTGAATCTTTCTTTGCTTTCACCTGTATCATCTGCATTGTTTGTATCTATATCCTGGGCATCTGATACATCATTAGAATCTTCTTTAAGTTCTCGATCCCTAGAATCTTCATCTGAAACCATCAATTGAGATTCCTCGTGAATTCCTTGTTCTTCATTCTCTTCTGGTTGTGTGTCAGAATGTACAGTAGTTGTGACCATGCTTAAAACTTTGTCAATAGATTGAACTCCTGATTTGGATATAATGTTTTCTGTTTTCATCATTGTCATGTCTTTGTTTTCTGTGCATGAATTATTTTCCCAAGGTCGGCTACTCTGATTAACCACTTTCTCACTGCAGACTTGGTCTTTAACGTCCTCTATAGACACTTTATTCGCCTCTTTAGTGGTTTCCTCAACTGATGTGATACTTGAAGACAGGAACTGAGACTCTGGAAGAACCTCACCCTCACAAATTGCTGTCTGTATAAATTTGTTGTCCTCAAGACCATGTGGATCGACACACAAACCAGCACTTTCAGCCTTCACAGATACCACATTACGAGTCCTAATTTCCCCAAATTTAAATCCACCTGAAGGAGATTTTCCATAATGCATGAGTGTTCCTTCATCCAAATCACCCCATTTGATTTTAGGGACATTATCTTTGGGAGTACTTTCCTGATTGACAGCTACATTGCGCCTGGATTTTTCAATGTTTGTGTCCTCATTATTGTGACTAATAACACATTTGTCAAGGCAGTGGCCCACTGCTTCATCCTCTGTAGAGATGGAAGTCGGGTTTGAGACATTATTCACATCACGCACAGTATAAACTTCACTTGCAGTCAGTGGTTGGGCTTCGTTTCTGTTATTCTCCAGGATCAGGCCCAACGAAGGTCGATTGTTTAGACTGCTAGGCCTCTGTTTTCCAGAGAGCCCTTCAACCCAACCATGTAGTGAGAATTTCAAATTGCTTCGGTGTTTCTGGGCAACAAATTCCAAAAAGAAAATGAATAAGTGAAGCTAAAATAAAGTCACGAGGAAAGACTCCTACACTGCCATGAGCTCGAATATATAAACTGATAAATCTGAATATGCTAATCAGAAATGAGAAAAAGGGATGTAGTCATTAAAATGAAACTATTACTATTCATTATAAAATGAAAAAATGATATGGGCTCCCGGGTAAGTTTTTTCCAGTTGCACAACTTTTTGACAAAATAAACCACAAACTACTTAATAAACTTAGAATTCTACTTGAATCGAGTTTCAAATGCATTGAAGCTAATCAAGAACAAGATATTTCGAGAGACAAGCTTATCACGCGCGGGTTGTTCTATTAGTACCGAAAATCATATTGTGAGTTCAACAAAAGAACGCAAAGTGCCACATACAAACACACTACACATATATATAAAGAAACAATTTTTCTGTTCTACCGATAATGCAATTAATAGGAAACTTCACCCCAGATGAATTTTTTACATGATTGGTTCTTACAATCACACTCCTCTTCCATCACTCCACGTGATAAATTAGCCATTCGAGCAAACTCAACAGTCGATGTTCAATCCTCAAAACAAGAACTATAAACAAAACAAATAAACAAGTAATCCCAAAATTTTTCTGGGTATCACTTAACATAACAACAAACATAAACATAAAGAAACAGCTCCATTCTTTGACGTCTCAAACCGAAAGGTGCATGAAAATCGAAAAAAAAAACAACAACAACAGCAACAACAACAACAACCTTTTTGACTTGCATCCATCCGGAAGCCTGATCATCTCCTCCATCGCAGCCATCCATCAGAAAACCTAGCTGAACAAACAATTGTTCTATTAAAAATCAAACATTCGTCTGTTTTCAACATGAATACTGAAAGGCGGATGGATGCCCTTGAGCCAAATTTTACCCACAACGGAAGTGATAGCCTGAGATTCTGAAATGCAAGACCCAATTAATACAAAAAAAAAAAAAAAA